AATCTACGCTAGAGGTGAAGTAAAGTGGCCAATGCTACACAGCCTTTTGTATCCGTGCTGAGATTTTGCCAGCAATCAGTTCAACCGGGCTGATGCAACTTCCCAAATAATTAAAGTGGTCGACACACTCAGCCACTTCTTCTGTATCTTGGATCCAGGATTGGGTGCAGCTTCATCGTACATTTGACAAATCGGCGAATCACATGATAAACATACTAAGTCTTCTGCTCAAGGTGTTTAGAACACTCAGCATTTGTCTCCATCTTCACCTTGGAGGACAATATCGTCCTCACAAGACTCTCTTGATAACAGATCAATCCCTAAGTCACTAAAGCCAATTAGCGTTACATACGTCATTATATGTACGACGAAATGAAACAAAAATGGGGACAATACGCATCTCTGACGGACAACACTGATTATTGCCATCACTTCAGACCACAATAAAGGTAATAATAACAAAGTAATATGGATAATAATAGTCACTTTATTCAAAACAACAATAAGTATAAAGAATGGAATTGTCATCATTGTACATATTGTAACAATTTATCTCCTTTTACAAATAAATCCAAAAGTAAAACTGTAAAAACAGAAGAATACAAGTATTAATAATGCTGGTAATGAGTTGCTTTTTATCTACAGATTATAAAGTAAGTTTATAAGGTCCTTTATCTGTCCACACAACATCCGTAGTAAATACGGGATCGTTTGATTTTTATATTTAGCCGTGAAAGCTTACATTCTACTGGTCCTATCTAAGTAGATACAAGCAGAAAGTGGCAAATAAAGAGAATGTTCTGCATCCGACAAAATGACTTCAGCTAACTCTGCTTGCAAGAATTATAGAATGCCTATCAACAACAATTTCAGTTAGTTGAATTAAAGGCACACCACAAAGCCTGCTTACAGCCTTCAAAGTTCTATGTAATATGACAAAACAATTTTCGAGAAGCTCAGGGAAGGAACAATGGAGAACAGGTAGAATATATGGATTAATAAATTGTAGGAGAAGAGGTTCAGTTTCTTAGAAACCAACAAAGATATGGGACGAACAACAAAGATTTGAACGGAAAGGGATACCAAGATGGGTAAAATTCGATTTATTTCCTGCTACAGTGTCGTCAATAATAACAAGAACCATGGGAGTGAATCAGTTCGCGCAATTCTTGTTTCCGCCTGAAAGTAAAACTAAACAATCTGACATTTAGACAGATCCATTTTGAGACCATTGGTTAACCTCAGATAGGAAACTACTTATATCAGAACAATCTAATGCAGAAACAACTGCAACCGAAATTGTCACACTATCAGGATATTTAATGAAGTTGGCTTTAAAAGTATGCGGCAAGTCATGTGAGAAGAAAGAAAATAGAAAATGAGGCAGTAATAGAATCTTTAGGCACACCAGCCTCCATAAACAAAGAAGTGGAATGCTTCCCATTAGAAACAGTTTGTTGTTTCCTGATCTAAAAACAAGAAGAGACAGCCACCCTGTGACCCGAGACTAAGTACGTGGTAAAATCAGCTTGCTTAGAATCAAACGCAGTCATGCAGTCTAAAAAATAAACTGGAGAAAATTCGCACCTTTATCTAGACTGAAAACAATAGCTTAGTGCAGTACAACAGTGGCATCTAGGGTACTTTTACTGCAATTATGAGAAAAATAGCTTGGGGTTATTGAAAGATATGGATGAGTGTTTAAGAATAAGCAAGTTTTTTCCATAGTTCTCAGAAATAGGAACATGATGGCGATTGGCTTAAAGTTCACTTCTGATCCCGATGATGACTTTGGTACAGGTGCAAACTTTATTTCTTTTCAAGTAACAGGTGCTGTGTCCCTGTGAAACGATGCGTTAAAAAATAGTGTAAAATATCTCCACTTTGTAGTAAAATGCTTGATACTCCAACATAACCTACACGATGTGATAGGTTTAAAGATTTGAGTAGAGCTAATACATCCTTCCCATAAAAATCTGGGAAATAACCATTTGTTTGACTAAAGACATCTAGTAGGACCATATTAACTTGTTACTTCAGAATAGATAGTTTCATCGAATGGGCATCAGAACAGGCTTCAATAGAAATCTCTTGGCCAGTTACTTCAGGAAATAGTTTCCAGATGCTGGAAGCATTTTTACATGATAAAAACCTTTCATTATATATTACACTTAGTCTCTGTATTTTCGACTTTATTAGACTTCATTTCTCTAACAACAGGATTATCGTGTGATTCATACAAATTATGCTTTACTATTAAATGTTTTAGTTGCAGAAAAGAGATCCTATCAAATCTCGTGAACAGTGTTTCAGTGAAACCGCCAACGTCCTAGCAGAAACTGGGATAGCTGATAGCATTAGATACAATATCATTCAACACTGTACCGATAATTATGTCCCAATCAGTATCCTACAACAGGTATTCAAGTGAATGAGTATTGACATGTGAATAAGACCATTCTTTGTGGTGAATAAACACCTCTTTTGTGTAATAATCTGCACATACTTTCGGTAAAACACGAGTAATGCAATGGTTAGAATTTATCAGGAGGGCTCTCCTATAGTGCTTCACAATCACTCTCAGTATACTCCCATACGGCTGTGTGTGATATACTTCTCCAACACTCAATTCATCGTCAATCAGTGACACAGTACCTCTTAACCGATGGTTCTGAATGCTGTCTTCAAGTCAAGAAATACGCCGTGTTGGGAACCAGAATCTGCCAAAGGGTGAAGGTATGATTGATATAGCCTCTTCCTGACCTACATCTTGACTGGTTTTTCCTAGCTATACCCAGCTTATGTATGATTACTGAACCTAGAACCTTAGCCATTGTCAATCAGTTTGAACGAATCAGCAAAAATCCAATGATACTAACCTATAGTTTTAGGTAATCAACAGCCTTTACCACTGTTTCTACAGTTAACTGATTTCAGTGTTACGCCTACAGGGGTACGATTTTACCACTTGACACATTCCAGTGGGACAGAGTATAATAGCTAGTTACTTTTGAGATTCGATAGTAAAACTGAATTACCAGGGATAGCATAAGGGGTAAACACCCTACAGCAAGATCCATCAGAACTCGCTCATCGCCAGAAATGTAAGCCTACTACTATGCGGAGTAAAACTAATTGCCTTCGGAGTACTAATTCGGAATCGAATCATAGAGAAACTAGGTAACGGTGATTCCAACAATCGCAAAAAAATACGACCTCGTGACTTGAAATGTGTGCTGATAATGCAACGTATGTCGTCAACTGTCTGTAATGCCAATTAATGAAGGGTGATCACTGAAACCCGTCACAAGTGCATTCGACGTCAGTAACATCAGCTGATACATACGGGCAGCGGATATAGTGGCAAGTTGTATACTGTGATGGAATCCTTATATCCATTTGATTGGTTGATTTATAAATACCGTGTACGAAGAAAGTGACAGAAAATAAAGACAGTTGGTCGCACTAATGAAGTTATCAATCGAGTTGGTGTGATAAATAATACAATTCTGAAATAACACAATCGAGCCCAACCAGTGGTTAACTACAAAAATTTACTGAAGGACTACAGATTAACAAGGAAAAAAGGGTTTAGGGACAGAACTTATAAGGTGAATTTAGAGGCTTCCTATCAGGGATAGGGTTTCTTGCGGTTTTCGTCTAGTCATATTCGTCTTACCCCGATATACTGCCGTTTCCAAACAGCTAAAATTGCTATACTTAATCGCCAAATATCACATCAAATTCAGTATACGTTTCACGAGTAATATCAAAGTCTATCTTGACTTTTTGTAGCACGCAACCAGGTTGTCATTCAAATTCACTAATGTATGTGTATAAGGCTAAAAATCCTGAACACTTTTCCCCCACACATTTGATCAGCAACGACAAACCACTTCCACACAAGATGTTAAACCTGTTACAATTCCACTAAAACACTTCCATTGTTTGTTTATACAAACCTAGGGCTAGGCAATAACATTCCACTAAATCAAACTAGGCTTTAAATATTTAAACAAAGGCAGTTAGAATGTTGTTAGCTAAGACAGATTCGCCATGCTACAAAGCACTCCAATTGTGAAGGCTTTTGATACTGCCCAGTGGTATAGGTTGAATTAAGTAGGGTAAGATTTGAACACGAAGATTAACTATAATTCCGGTATAAGACAATGTGGTGCAATGAAGTATCTTCATCTCTAGGGGAGCCAACGGGTCCAGTGATCAGTCCACGCCCAGCCTACTGTGATTTGGTTACTCTATAGGTCCCTACAGTGTGACTCATTATCGTGAGAAAGGAAATTCGGTCCCGGTTTTGATTAACTTAAGTGAATCAATTTGGTCGACCACATAATATAAATTCATATAGTAGCCGTAAGTACTGCCACTTTCATCTACCTCTACTTATATGAACATGTTATGACATCGACTACTATTAGTACAAGCTCCTAATGATCGCCGAACATATCTAAATGTCAAACTGACGTATGTACAGAGCATAAACACTGGCAATGTTATTCTGTAACACACTTATTTCCCTTGATTAAGACATCATGCTACCTAACCACGTGATATTAATATACACTACTGTTAAAATTAGTAAAAAAAAATTTGGTAGTGATACTAAACTGCCCAAGGTTGCAGGCAGCTGGCGAGAGCCATCGAAATATAGTGAAGTCACTCTACCGCGCTCAGTATATTCCTAAAATGCCTTTTTTATTTGATACATCAGCGAAAGTCATTTACTGGATGGTGTTCCAATTACAAATTGTTCACACTTATATAACAATTGATAAAACTGAGCAATAAGTTCTATTCGGAACAAAACCAAGCAGATTTTAATATTTTACTGTAATACGTCTAATAAGTATATCGACTAGGAATGAAGTATATCTTGGGAATGCAACCCCAGTACGAGTTCTTTGAAGGAGCATAGGGGTGCGACCACTCGTGTCACCTTCCTGCATGTGAAGCTCAACAGCTTTAAGTGTCTTAACCCGAGCCATAGGTTTACATGCACAAGAATACATTATACACCAAGATGGGTTAACATCAAAAAGCTCCTTTTACAACTCAAGAACGCATTATGACAGTAGGCTTTAAGCTCTCGCCTAAATTGAAGATGTCAGTCATACCAGTCCCAACCGATAACCCAGTTCGTGTAGAAGTGAAGGACCTACATATTAGTCGCCATTCCTGACTACCCATGGTATTGGATGAATCCGAAGCATGAACATAAAAAATATGATTCTGACAAGTAACCATACTTATATTAGATGAAACAATTAATTCTCTTCTTCGTCATCAGAGTCTTCATTCTCGAAGTTGTAGAATCGTAACTCATAGGAGTCTTTTGATTTGGCTACTACTCGCAGGAAGTCACGAAGCTTATGACGTTTTAAGAACTTCTTTGTCAAGTACTTCAAATATCTAAGGACTAACATAAGCAACTACATGAAGACGTACCTTTTAGAGAATGGAATGTTAGATGTAACATTTATGGTGGACTTGTCTCGATCAATGTGAACATCTTTACCCAAATTGTTCAACTTTTTATTCACTTTAATATGCTCCTTCAAGTATTTTTCCTAAAGAGAAATGTATGTTACGGTGATAAGCAATACGTACGAGTAAAGCTGGGCTTATGATATCTTCATCGATAACTCCAGGTGAGCTACAAATACTATACTTCACAGCCTGCTTCTTTTTTGAAGGAGTTTTCTGGGTCTTTGGCTTGGGAACAGTCTTGCAAATAAACGTAGTTAGGACCAAAATAATACCTTTGACACAACCATGCTGAAAACCTTAACAGCCCGCCTCGCGAAGTAAGCAAATACTGCCGCCAATCTCTGCGGTGCAAATGTCCAATGGTAGATAAAAGTGTGTCGACGAAAATATTTGTTTTTGGTGGAGATTTTATGCTAATACCGTTTTTTCGAGAATTATTCTGGGATCTTTTCTTTAGATACTACAAACAAATAGTAGTTCAGGGTGATCGAACTATGTCATGGTAACTCTAACACTTATTAGACCGTTCATTAGGGAAACATATGCCCTTAAAAAAATTCACACAAATGCATTACAAAAATAAAACTCTTAATACTTTCAATGAGCAATTTTTGCACAGCAAACTCCATAACTATAGCTTCCCCATGCAAATTTCGCACATCGTCTTTGTGTTCACTGAAACCAATTTTCGTTGTAGATAACCCTGCACAAATTATGGTTACGGTTTCAGGGGAATTGTCTTCCTGATCGCATGGTCTGTCTTTATTCATTTAAGCATCAAAACCTCTCAGTACTGATTTTTTTATTATGAACTCTGAGAATAATATTACCACTCACTCATAAGACGAGTTGATTCACCTTTCTTTAAATATTCCCATTTATAATATTAGAACAAGACATATAAGCGAACAATATTGTTTTCAATTAGATCTTCTTCAGGCTTTACTCTAATTTACATAGATTTATATATAAAATTTTAACCAATGACGGTGATTTTGGGAATCAAATAATAATCTTAATAGTCTTAATAATAATAATAATGTGGTAAATGTTTTGAACATAGTTAATAACGATGATTATAATGATAACAAAATATTGATAATAAGGTTTATGCAGGTGATAAGAATAACAAAGATAGTATATGTATATAAGTGTATAAATAAATTGGGTCATATCTTAAAAGGTGAAGTGGAACGATAATCAGAGTTTAAATAAATATTATAAAAGTACAAAGGAGGTGGAAAATAAGAAAGGGTGGGAGGGTTTTGAATACAATTCACCTAGGCCAAGGGAGAGACAAAGGTAGAACAAACTTCTTTTGTATGCAAAGACTAGGGTTTTTCTCTCGAATTCCCATAGCTTCGGCTAGGTGTAAAAGACGGTTTCTGATTCCATTCGAAAGACTCGATGGAATACGATAGATAACTTTGAAAGCACTATTTTTGTCCACTTGGTGACCGCTATCAATCAAATGAGCCAAAATAGAACTTCGTATGGATTTTATTTGACCTTTTCCGAACCATGAAGGAAGATGCTCATTAATGCGTTTGTTCAGCTGTCTAGTTGTTCGCCCTGAGTTTAGACTTGTGTGTTACCTTTGATCTGTTTGGATAATTAACGTTCCAATTTCCAAAAGTCCTTGGATACTTAATTACTCGCGTCGTCAAATTCGTTTTCGTAGAACCGTCCAGACATACCCCCTGTTTTTCTGTAGGTAAGGCATAATTGACTACTAGTTGATTCTACTACCTCCGTTTATCCGCAATTGTGTGTATAGAATGCCAATGGAAGATATCAATGAGAACTATCGAATAAAAAAAGTGCATTGAAAAATACTGGTCTGGTGAAAAGTTATGACCAAAACATTTAATTTCCCATAAAATCCTATAGGAATCCTATAGGATTACTAGTTTCTCCAAAGGTATTATAGTATATTCCCAGCGGCGTTCACTCCAAATGAAACTTTACGGAGCAAGATTCATCAGCTCTACGGAACTTTTTGTCAGTGTTTGTATGTGCTCCTGACGTGTTACAGTTAATAAACATCTATATCTCTTCACAATTAACCTCAACTAGAAATATGTCATTTATGTGGCTCAGCGATGCCACCTGACCTGTTGTTGGCTCAATTGTTTGCAAATAAGAGTTTTTGTACTGCCTGCGACTTCGAAGCAGTGACATAAATAGAGAAATCTATGGGGGATATCTGTTTGTACGCATATGAAGGATATTTTTGATCGTGAGCTCAGTGTCTCAAAAGAAATCATTTAAGTTGCTCCTTATAAACCCAATTCACCTGATTGATCCTCCCGAAGAGCTTTGAGTCCAACCAACCATCCAGAAGTGCACAGCTTCAAAACCCTTACCGTTATGGATTACTAAAACTGGCACTATTGCGGACGCTACCTCACCAGTCATATTCTTGCACAAGTTCATGTCACCACACTGTTGAGAATGGATATTCACCTCATTTATGTACCTCCGGATAATCTTTGCACCCTGAGTAACAATGTAAGGTGTCCTTGACTACAGCCTATTATCTCACAGGATCTTGGAGAAAAGCAGTTCTTCGCTACATTATTTGCCTTTAAACAAACGTCACACAGTTTTCTCTTGGAAACGAAATCTAAACGTTTATTAAGAACTTTGCTTTTAAACGACTGATGGCGTTCTACCAAATATTCTCCTAAGCATAATGTACAGGGTGTAATGAATAGCCATGACTTCTTAGTGGGACAATTAGTAGGTTTTTCAACATTATTCTCTGATAGCTAAGTAACAAATACTCGGTGTTTAGAATCTGGATGAGAGTTCTTCCTCGTGGTGATATCAATCCACTTGATGTTTTTTCCAGTGGATGTTCACTAATCAGCAGCTCATAATTGGTGTTAGTGAAAACAGACCGCCTTTTGTCGAATAAACTTAAGTATTCAAACGATGGCTCGCAGCCTTTCTTAATGATGTTGCATTCACTTTTTGACCACTATCTCTGTGGATATAAAGAGCGTTTCAGTGTTAGGCTTTCAGTAGTCCTACCATAATTCGATGCGACACATAAATGATTTGCTGAAGTGTTAGATTTCACTCTGTGTTCTCTCTCGAGACGAACTTTTCAATTGTACCGAGTCATTATCTCCTACAGCCGGGGAATCTAGAAGTTTGTCTTTAAAAGTTCGGGGCGCCGAAGGCTTTTCACGAATATCTTCCCGAACAGTTCTTAGGCTTTATGGTATGATTTCTTCATTCTGAACGGAAAACAATGCTTGATAACACCCTCTGCCCTCCTATCGCAGTAGTGAGCCAAATAATATAGTTTGCCCCTATATCCAACAGCAACATTATCCACCAAGCCTTCGGAATTCTTCATATAATTCCACTAATTTATAGGATTGCTATCAAATTTAATGGCCTCTCTTTTAGATTTATCCAATAACTTAAGTGTGGTTCTGGTAAACTCGTCATTAGGAAGTATATCAGCTGCGTGAGAGGCGGAAGGTGTATAAGACAACTTCTTGTGCCGGAACATTTGCGACTTGCTTGCCGTTATCCTTCTGACTCAGTTTCCCTTTCGAATTGGACAATGCTCATTTTTTCTACTTACGGCTTTTCTGCACTATTTTATTTACAATCACAAAGTCTGGCAGCATCTGCTTCACTACTCTTTTCTGATTATGAGGATAACATTGGCATGGGATCGTACTTTACATCTGACGACGTACTGTTCGAAAATTTGAGTGGTTAGATTTATTAACAGGTCTTTGTTCTCAGTATCAAAATCGATGACACAGGTTCTGGGCTCAGCATTAGTTCAAACTGATATAAACTTTATGTTTCTGAAATACAGGTGAAATAATACAGTATCACAAGAGTGGCGATACAGACGCAACTACCATTCAAGGAAGGGTGGGAGATACCGAACAGTGTTACATGTAGAACGAAATAGTCAGTGGACTATATTTACAAACACATAAGAGGACTGAATATAAAACCCACTCATAGTCAACTTCAAGTTGTGGGAGTTTACATTAAGATTGTCAACAATCACACGGCAATCACGACAGAAAAGGCCGGGTCATTTTAATGGGTGTGCTGTCACGAAGCCTGCCTGAGATTACTAGGCATTATGACCAATTCAAACAAGTGTCATCTAAAAAACAGTTAAGCACATCTTAATTGTTCACTAAGAACGACAGTCTCTTCAACTTCAGTGCACTTAGAGTAACAATGATTCATAATTAGTATAAGCAAATACGTTTATATGAAATGTATGCAGTTTTTACAGACTCGACCAAATATGGTACAGATTACATTCGCTATATAGCAATAAATTAGCACTTTTTCCAAAGTCTGAAAGGGTGAATTACGATGCAAGCAATCAGAACATATCTGTGTATATACTGAATAATAAACCCACCATCAAGGTCTTCATGAAGGCTGAGCGGGAACTCAGTCTTTGTTTTGTTTCCTGCTGATGATTACAGTCAACCAACCGACGAACAACCTATATTGAGGTAACCGCCATGTCCCCACGTGATTAAAAGCTATTTTAGGGAGAGAAGAATGTCCTGGGAAACTGAAAGGTGGAATGCGATGCCATTAACCATAATATACCATTAGAAATGCACTTACAAAGTTTATACAAGGAAGACTTTTAGTCTTAGGAATGATAATGCATATTCGCAATGGTCTCACCTCGTAAACTGTGACGTCTTCGATGATGATATGACGCTCATCAAACAAGTTGTCTCGTTTGCATTTTCACTCCACGCTCAGACTTGATGTAGAAGCAGACAAAAAAGTAAGTGATGATGACATGCTTAATGTTTGTGATAAGTTGTCTGAAGTTATTACTGATAGGGTTGGTGGTCATGCAACCTTAACCAAGGAGAGTGGATGCTCTAAGTTACCTATGTTGAGCCTCCGTGTTTTGGTGAAAACCCGGGAGGTCATCCCCATTTATGAAGGAAAGTGAAATTATGCTGAGTGATTACGGACTTAATGATGGTATGAAGTTGATGTACTTATTGAGATATAGCACTGGTACAGAGGCAAGGGAAGACCAATTCTGTAAATTCCTACCACCGAACGAAGGATACGCGAAAGCTACGAGAATATTACGTCAAAGGTTTGGGAGGCCATCTATGATATCCGGTGGTGTATTTGAGACCGTTGAGAGTTATGGTACGCAGTCAAACGACGATTCCGAGGAACTCCCTTGAGTTACTGGATAGTTTAATGGTGTACAGAAACACCCTCGTTTCTTTCGATCGTATAAATGAATTGAACTCAAGTCAATTGAGGCAATCGCTGAGAGATTATTCGTTCGCCCACGAAGAAAGTTCATAA